CGGCTGGCCTCCTCCGGACCCGCACCTGGCCGGCGGGCACCAGGCTCCGCTGGGCCTCACAGAAGTCCAGGAGTCTGCGCCACAGAGGGCAGCATCGAAGCAGGAGGTGGTCTCCTGCAAGACGGAGGAGTCAGTGCTGGCCCCACCCCCACAGCAGCCCTGCCCAGCCACACCCAGGCCTGCCCCGCAGCTCTCACCGACGAGGCAGAGCCCCTCCTGGGCCCGGGTGATGGCCACGTTCACTTGGTTGGGGTCTACAACGAAGCCCAGGAACCTCTTCAGCCAGCTCTTGGTTGGCCGTTGGTCCAGGTCGCTCTCTGGGCAGGAACGGACGGTGCTCACCAGCACATAGCGCCACTCACTCCCTGGGACCAGGGGCACAGTGAGGCCCAGCTTCCTCCCGAAGGCCCAGGAGCCCTACCCAGGACCGGCCTCCAGCCTCACCCTGGCTCTTGGTGATGGAGCACACTGCCACTCCGGTGACACCCTGACTCAGGAGGCTCTTGCTGATCTCTGCGGCCTGCGCGTTGTAGGGCGTGAGGATGGCAATGTCCTTGGGGTCCACTGTCCTGTCCAGGGTCAGCTGTTTGGCGATGCGAACCTGAAGGACCGAGGGGGTGCTAGTGGAACAGGCCCTGGTGCCTCCCCCCCTGGCACCCGGGCCTCGCCTGTTTCCTCAGCTCCTCTGCCTCCTCCTCCAGGAAGCCCTCCTGACCAAGGGGCACCACCTGACACTCACCACCTCCGCCACCTCCTCCAGGTTGGCCTTGGAGTTCTCATTCCCTTCATCTGTGGACACCAGCAGGCTCTGCTCGTGGCCCTGCACGTGGCCAAAGATGACAGGGCAGCTCTCCTTGCCAGCATGGCCCAGGACGCTGGGCGGCCGCCACAGGCCCGGCCAGGTCTTCAGCTTCCTCTGGTAGAACTCCATGGAAGGGAAGCTGCAGATGCCCTCGTGCTGCCGGAAGAACATGAGCCAGGGACAGGCTGCCTTCCGCCCTCCCTGGGTCCCAGGAGAAGGCCAGGGTGCATGCAGGAGGTGGGAGTGGTCGGAGGCACAGGCATGGGGCAGCTCACCATGCGGTACTGCGTGTCCAGCATGTGGGCATCCCTGTAGTACCTCTCGAAGAGAGACCGGTCCAGTCCCAGGCTTTGCAGCTGCTCATTCTTGACCACAGGCCGCAGCTGCTTGTGGTCCCCAAGAAGAACCACCTGGAGGGCAGGTGTGGATCTGACCCCCAGACCCAGAGGGAGCCAGCACGTCCGCTGCTACCCCACCTCAACCTGCCCTCCATGCGCTCCCTGCATCCAGGTGCGAGGCCACCCGGGCGATGCCTGTCTGGCATCAGCACCTGCCTCACCTTCTCCGTGTGGGAGAAGTTCACCAGGGGGATGAGGGTCTCGGGCTCCGTGGCCATGCCCGCCTCATCGACCAAGATCTGCCGGACGTTCAGGTTCTTGAGGCTGGGAGAGGCCGCACACGAGCACGTGCAGAGGATGACGCTGTGGCGGTCCAGTTCGAACTTCCTCGCCCTCCCCAGGATCTTCTTATACCTGCGCAGGGACGCCGTTGGGTCACCCCGGGTCACCCACGCCAGGAGGCCGCGCCACGGCTCCGCCGCTTACCTGGCGAGGTCCTCCTCGGGTAACACCTCCCCTCTCTGCAGCCGGGAGTCGAAAGCCTTGATGGAGGGCGCGAAGGGGTTGGAGGACTGCCGGATCCGGTGGTGCAGCGTGATGGTCCTGGCGGGGGAACCCCGTGAAGCCCCGTGTTGCCCACAGCCCAAGGCAGGACCCTCAGACAGCTTGGGCCTCTCCCCTCCACCCAGAGACAGACAGACAGACAGACAGACAGACAGACAGCTAGACAGACACTGAGAGGCGGCACCTGAGGCTCTGGTTGGGCCTCCCCTCCCGAGGGGTCTTCCTGG